TAATAAGAGCACTTGCATTCGACCCCCTGCGGTGGAAACTACTACCAAACGAAAAAGAGGACGGCCTAGAAAGCAACCGGTAATGATATATAATTAGTGTATATCCTTTATTTTGTTCAATGCATGTAGTTGGAGCATACACTTACTGTGTTCTTCATTTTATAAAAGGATGATGATCAATGGAGCATTCAAAATGCACCAAAGAAGAAGCGAATTACTAAAAGCAAATCAACTCCAGCTCCAACATCTTCAGAGAATGCTCAAAGCCAATCTACACAGAATGCTCCAATTTTGACTCAGAATTCCCAAAGCCAATCGAATCCACCTCCAGTTTCGACTCAGAATTCCCAAAGCCAATCGAATCCACCTCCAATTTTGACTCAGAACTCTCAAAGCCAATCGACTCCACCTGCAACTTCTGCACAAGATTCTGGTGCTGCAGCTGAACCAGCTCATCATGGTCGTGGTCGTCCACGTGGTCGTGGCCGTGGTCGTACCCGTGAGCCGCCAATTCTTAGAGGTTATGGTTGTTATATTTCTCCTTACACTGGTCGAGTTTTTGACGTTTGGAGATCTACTGCTAAAGATATGAATGGTCCTACTCCACGACCACATGAAGACCCTTAGGAACTTTTGAGTTTGGCTTTTGTATGATCCTTATTAAGTATTCGTATCTTGGCTCTTCTTTTGCTTAAGTAATCGTTATGAATTTAGCACTTTTATTGGTTTGAATTGGCAGTATTTACTGTCTTGCTTTGGATTTTGGTGTGTGTCACATTTGACTATAATTTTCAGAATCTATCTACGGTTATTTACACTCTTTCGATTGCCTTTCTTGTGTTTTGTTTGGTAGTTTTGTTATCTGCAATTACGATCAAGACAGAACAACCATTGATTAATATTTTACAACCAAAAAACAGATTAAACCATATTCAAGGCAACTATTACGAGACACCAGAACCCGACCACAAACTCAGAACAACAAAACAACTACTACCGAAGACTAGAATGCCAAAAACCACACAACAACAAGCATAACTAATCGTCCCTCTAACATAACTAATCTTCCATTTGACTACTTCTTCACCATTGTCAAGATCATTGCTGTGACAACATAGAATCCTCCCCATGAGATGACAACAAATTGTCGCAGCAGTTTTTCCCTTTCTTTCGAGGCCATGGCTTCGTTCTGAAGTTTCATTCGATCTTCTGAAATCCGATTCCACACATCTGTATCGACCACAGTTGTGTCCGACTTCACAACGCCTGAATTGACCACAGTTGTGTCCGACTTCACAACTGCTCCACTTAAAATTTTCTTATTCAGAGCTCGAACAGACTCTTTTAGGGCGTTAATTTCTTGATATTGTCGACGAATCTGATCTCTTGCCTCTAGTAAGCTCTCTTTCTGCCACCCATGGGGTTTATCTTTATCCGGCCATGTGAAGAATCCATGAGCATCGCATTTGTAAAACTTCTTTCTAGGATTATCATCTGTCCATGACTTCAACTTCACCGTCATTCTGCCGCAGCGGCAAAGAGGCCCCTCCATCTGGCTGTAGCTCCGGTTAAACAAGTTCGCATCTGAGCCGCCAGAACTTTGTCCTCCTTCCATTCTCTGTGGTTCTCTGATTTTGACGATGGATGAAAGAGGAAAAGAGACCACAAATTGAGATCAGAAATTACTCGTTAGGAAGTGAGAACTGAGAGAGAACTGAGAGAGAAGAGAAGAAGAAGAGGAAAAATGGCGAAATCGATTTGAAGAAAATGAAATTAGAGTTATTCGATTTTTGGGGGTTTTGTGCAAATTTTGATTAATTAAAGTCATTCATTGATAAAACATTAAACACCGTTTACTGTTTCCGTTAACTGAGCTGACGTCGTTAATATCTACATTGTAAATTTGTAAATTTTGAATCTCTGTGTATTATTCTGGCAACGAAAAATAAGTTAAGTTTTTTTTGGAAGCCCAAATAGTTGAGGTATTTTGTTGGCAAATGAAAATAACTTGAAGTATTTTTAAGGTTTTTTCCCCTCTCTTTTACATGCATACGTAAGAAATGCCTATAAAAATATGTAAATTGTTTTATTCGCAATGTCGACATGGAACTATAAGAATGTGGTGAAAGAATATATAAGTTGAGCTCCACATGTTAAATCTCACAACGAAAGATGTCCTGTTTTTACATATTGTATTTGATTTCTAGAAAGCCCGTAGTGTGTGAAGTAAATAAAAGTGTTGCTTAATTAATAATTATATGACGTTTGGTTATTTTAAAAAAATATTGACGTTATAACAACAACAACAACAACAAAATCCAGCTGAAAGTGTATCTATAAATTTCCATTTGCACTTAAAATTTTAGAATATTTCCGAGAACAATAACTCAATAAGCATAAATTTTAATGCCATTATGAAAGATGAAAAATCGTTTTAAATTCTGATCAAATATATATTGTGAGCCTATTCAAAAAAAAAAAAACCAAATACTAACCTATATACGCAGATGGAATTTTATTTTTAACACAAAAAAATAAAAATACATTACTCTGAAGAAATTCAACATTTGTAAATTATTGTTTTCTTCTATAAACGATGAACTTCTAAATTGGGCTTTTAATTGACATTATTCTTTGAAGAAAGCCCATTTGACTTTTTGTTTCCTTATTCTGCAAAAGCAAGAAAATGTCTGGAGTATTTTTGGATTCTAATTTCTACAACTTTTCCGTTTATCCCCTCTTCTTTCAAAAGCAAAAAAAGGTCTGTAGACTGAAGTATTATAGTATATATTTTTTTTCCTTAAAAATGGTAGAAAACATATGTCAGTTATCAGCAAAAGCTGCTAAAATTCGTTAGTTTAGTTCACCATATTTTTTTTACCATTTAAAAATTGAGAAATTAGCTGATATAACCAAATAAATGACTGAAATTCATAAAATAATCATATCAAATTGGATGTTATTATATTGTCTATATCTTCTATAATATATACAAAAAAACTCTTCATCTAATAAATTACACTATTATACTATACTTAGTTGGTGTAGTGTATTATTAATAGTTCTACAAATATACTATTTTTATATCGTACTATATTATCACTCCGAAAACTGACTCCACACCGTATGGATATCTGCTAGCCTCTCATCTTTATCGATCATCATCTCGTGAATTCACTCTCATATGAGACATCCTCCAATGCAAATTTCATACCTGTAAATATCTAAAAAATGAATTAATATCTATACTATACTATATTATATTAATTCATATACTACACTATATTAATTTTATCGTATAAGAATATATATTAAAGTATAGTCTGATTCTATAATTGGAATCCTCAGTACTATACTATCTATTTTTTAATCTGATTGTATATTTAGAATTCCAAATAGTATACTATTTTTTTGTTTTAGCCTAATGATAGAACAATCAATACTTCCTTCGTTTTATAAAGAGTGTCATTTTGGCATTTTTTTTTGTTATATAATAAGTGTCACTTTAGGTTTTCAATGCAAAATTTTAAATAAATTATCAGTTTTATCTCTACTATTTTAGCTTATTAATTATAGAGAAATAATGATTTAGTATATAAATAAATGGTATAACAGACAAAAAAATATCAGAATGACGTTTTTTATGAAACAGAGGGAGTACATTTTTATTTAAAATAGAATGGCTTTTTAGTCTTTTCTCTGTAGACTATAGTTACTTTTTATATTTTTTGAATAACATAGCTATATTCTTCGATTTTTTTTCAAATATGGTTAAATTGCAAATTAACTCTTAAAAGTTCAAACCGTTAATGCAATTATGCAAAGATAAGAAATACATTTAAATATCAGCGAGCACAAAAGTAAAAAAATACACTGTTAAGATGCGATGACAGTGATGCACGTGGAGGGTGGCGATTAGATCGACAAAGAGAAAGACATGCACCTTTTGTTGAAATCTATGCGCAGGTGTGACAGGGGCCCACCACAAAATCCAACGTGGCAAAAGGTAGACTTTGATTTAGATCCTCCGAAAACGCAACTTGGTTAAAAATCAATTGTACAATGTGGCAGAGACCTAAGAAACTTTTTGTTGATAGCCAATGGTTTACCGACACGTCCTTGAATCCAACCTTCCTTTGCTTTTCCTTATCCACACGTACAAACTAACTGGTCCGATACCAAATCTTGCAATCTCTTTATCTAAAATTTGTAAGGACTTTTGTATATAAATTTTAGAAAATTATCAAAAACTTTAAATAGTCTATTTTCAAATCAAATTGTGACATTCTTGGTCACTTTTATTTCTAAGTTGTCTCTAATTCTCTTAGTATTGTGTTTGCTTTCTAAGCATGTTTTAATTTGTAACTCAAAATTTCTTGTTTTCAAGTATAAGGAGGATTGTGTCTTATTTAAGAGCCATATAGTAAAAAAACCTATTGTAACTTCGGAGCCATTTCTAATAAAATCGCAAAGTGTTTCCAAATTATAAACTTATCTAGGAACTAAAACTAAATATTAAAAGAAATAACTAGCTAATATGAGCTGAGTTCCTCACTTTTTCCTTTACCTAATTAGTTTGATTGTCAAATATTCACCAGATCATGCATATATATATATATGTATATATATACCCCCACTTCTCATTTTTGTCCATCAAATTTTGGTAATGATTTATTTTTGTAAGTTTTTTCTCTATGTCATTATATGTGTCATTAACTTAGTCTTGTTCGCTAATTTACGGCAAATTTGAGGAAAAAAAAACAAAATCAAAATAATTGGTTACTGTATGGTTGATAAATTAGTCAAATAAATGTGTGACAAAAATTAAGAGAACAAAAAAAAGGGAAATTATGCGAATAATCCACATAAAAAGGTACGAATTATTATTATTATTATAACCCGACAACCCGACCCGGTATTAATGAGGCAAAAAGGAAAATATCAGAGGCCACATAAACTTGTGGCTGAGAATTCAATTGTGATGCTGACGTGGTACCCCCTTTGCTTTTATACGGATCTAAATCCCTAATTTCAACAATTCACCTCCAAAATCTCATATCTCCCAAAATATTAAAAAAAAAAATCAATTTAACAGAGTGAGAAAGGGGAGAGGAAACAGATACTGCACGAGCTTCCTCGCTTCTGTTTTTGGTTACTCGAGAAAGAAAAAAAAAATGATGATGGAAAGAAGAGATCCAGCTATTAAGCTCTTCGGGATGAAAATCCCTTTTCCGGCGGTTTATGAGTCGACGGTGGCGATTGAGGAGGAGGAAGAGGAGGAGGTGATGGAGTTGAGCGGCGGAGATGGAGGAGAGGATAAACCAGCTGAGAAGGTATTGATTGATTTTGCTTTGTGTTCTTATAGTGATCGAGAAAATCGATTACAAGTAGTTCTCTCTGTCTCTGAATCCACAAATGGATAATCTTTTGTCTCTATAAATCTCTGAAACTTTATACAACTTTGACTCGAACACTTGAATCCTCTGTTTCGAACTTATATCATGTTGAAGATTTTTGAACTCTGGGTATCTTCATTCATTTTGGATCTACAATTTGTGTGATGAGCTTCATGAGTTTTAGAGATTCTGGGTTTTGATGAAAAAGAGTACTATTGAAGATAATTATTTTTTGTTTTTTTCTCATTAATTTAAGAACAATTGTTTGATTCTTCCTCTAGAACTTTCTTCAGAGACTCGTTTGTTTATTCATTAGTCCATTACAAGTGTTCTTAATTAAATATTTTTATCGCCTTCTCTCATAGGTAACTTCAGAGTTAGTATTAGATAAGAACAACAACAAATGTAAAGACAAGAGTCATGACTCCAAACCCGAGACCATGGACAAAGAAGAGACGACATCAACAGATCAGATACAGAGCAGCGACTCGCCTGAGGAGGACGACAACAATCAGCAGACAACAGCAGACGGCAAAACCCTGAAGAAACCAACCAAGATCCTGCCATGTCCGAGATGCAAAAGCATGGACACCAAGTTCTGTTATTACAACAACTACAACATAAACCAGCCTCGCCATTTCTGCAAGGCCTGTCAGAGATACTGGACAGCCGGAGGCACCATGAGGAACGTACCCGTCGGTGCAGGACGGCGCAAGAACAAAAGCTCCTCCTCTCATTACCGTCACATCACCATCTCCGAGGCTCTAGAGGCAGCGAGGCTCGACCAGGGCTTGCAGGCGAACACCAGAGTCCTGAGTTTCGGCCAACAACAGCACGCTGCTCCCATGACAACACCCGTGATGAAGCTAAATGGGGACCAGAAGGTCCCAAACGGAGCTAGAAACGGGTTTCATCACGGGTTACCGGATCATCAGCGGGTCGTGGCTCGGGTTGAGAATGGAGATGATTGCTCAAGCGGCTCCTCTGTGACTACCTCAGTGGATGAATCAAGAGCACAAAGCTGCAGAGTTGTTGAACCACAGATGAACAACAACAACGTGAATGGTTACGCTTGTATCCCGGGCGTTCCATGGCCTTACACGTGGAATCCGGCGATGCCTCCACCGGGTTTTTACCCTCCACCGGGTTACCCAATGCCGTTTTACCCTTACTGGACGATCCCAATGATATCACCTTCACCGCATCAAACCACGTCGCCTATGAGTCAAAAGGGTTCAAGTCCAAACTCTCCCACTCTCGGGAAGCACTCGAGAGACGAAGAAAAGGACAATGAGACAGAGCGGAAACAGAGGATTCTTGTCCCGAAAACGTTGAGAATAGACGATCCTAACGAAGCAGCAAAGAGCTCGATATGGACAACGTTAGGGATCAAGAACGAAGGGATGAGCAAAGGAGGTATGTTCAAAGGGTTTGATCACAAGACGAAGAGGAATCACAACGATAAAGCAGAGAACTCCCCTCTTCTTTCTGCTAACCCTGCTGCTCTATCAAGATCACTCAATTTCCAGGAACGGGTTTAGAGTTAATATACTTGTGTGTATATATGTATGATTCGATGTATAGAATGTTGTAGAATGATGAGGTTTTGAGAATCAAACTCTTTTTCTTCTTCCTCGTGATCATATCCATCCAAGATGTTTTGTACTGTACACTATCGATTTACCTTTTGTTTTGGTCTTTGATTTTTTTTGTTTCACTTTTTTTTTCCTTAGTTTCTTTCTTCATTTGTCAAAAAATGTTGGAAGAACATTAATGGTAAAAAGTTGACATTGACCTTTGTTGCGTTGGCAATTCAACCGACACTCTTCTCTGAGTCTTCTTACTTGTTCTTATCTTCACCATATTTTTGAAGGGTTTAATCTTGAATAACACCCACTTTGATAAATTTTTAATACAAAATAAAACACTCACTTTAACAATAACATCTTTCAAACATGATTTAGAAAAAATATGATATTTTGTTAAAGTGAATTATCAACTATTGAGAAAAAGAGATTATGTTTGAATTTGTTATTAAACTTTGTAGGAATTTATGAAATAGATTGAAATACATTTATTTATCTAAATTTATCAATAGAGCCATACTTAGTACTTTAAATTGTTTTTAGTTTGGATATAAACAAAAATTCTTGGATAATTTAGTTAAGCCAATCATGACAATTTGTTTTTTTTCCTAAGATTTTTTGCACAAAAATATGAGTACCTTAGATTTTAGATGCAAAAATATAAAGAAAATTGAATGGTCCCATTCCACGTAAAGACAATCAGGATTTATTATGCTGAAAAAGTTCTTTTTATTTGTATCCTTTTTAATTCCTTTTTGTATTTGGGATATTGATACTGAAAAAGATGGGTCACTATATGTTTTTTACGATTTTTACTTTATTATTTGGTCTGTGTCCTCGAAAGCAACTTAGATATTTTTCAGAGTGCCATAACAATTTTTAGCCACACGAATATATTTTTATTTCATTTATGAATACTAAATAGTAAATACCATGGCACACAATATTAGTATCAGTCTTTTTCTTGTAGCGGCAATATTATTATAATCCTTACAAGTAAAGGTGTGTCAAGTTGTTTTTCTTCTTTTTGAGTAATACTTTTCTTTTCTGCCTTTTTGCATCTTGTGGCAAAGCAATTTTGTTCCTTTTTATTCCCTACCTTGCATTAAAATTAAATTCTTATTATAGTTTTAACATTATAAACAGATTTTTTCTTCCTTTTTTTTGGTTGAGACTTGAGAATACAGATTTTTCTTTATCCGAACGCCTTTTCAACCGCAAACGCACCCGGCACCACTATAAATGAAGACACGCAGAAATTGGGCCTACCTACTTTTTGTTTAGAGGGTTTGGAAAATTAACAAGTACTTGCTTTTTTGCAAATGGTTCCAAATATGAGACAACAACGTCGTTAAGATGTTTAGACCCATAAATCAGTGATTAAAAAGCTAAGAGAAATAAATTCCTTTTTCATGTTTCTGTTTCTGTTTATATATAAAAAATGGAAGTATTCCAAATCAAAGAAAAACAATTAACTAAAATTAGGCATCAATTTTCGGAGCTTTTTTGCCCTTTTTTAAAGACTTTCGAAATGTTAAAGGTTCTACTTTATTGGCTAGGCTCCTTAATTAAATAACTACTTTGATTTGATTGGCAAGCTAATCTTATTATGATATCATAAATTTTGAAAAAAGGAAAAGAAAATGAAGGTATGATGCATCTTGGTTCTTTACAAGCATATTAACTCAAGATAGCTAGATGTAGAGTAAAAGCATTCTGTTGGCTTGATTTATAGAGTCGAATCTGTTAATTTGTATTAGTGTCACTCATGTGTTACCACTTGAATATAAATCCTCTAAAACATATTTACTCTATTTTATAAAGAGTGTCACTTTGACATTTTTCACAAAATTTAATAAAAAGTTTCTTTTATCTTTTATAAATATACTAAATAACTTTCTATTTTTAATTAATATATTAATATAACAAAGTTAAAACTAGATTTTTATTTAAAATTTGTATTGGAAATATAAAACGACACTTTTTGTAAAACAAAAATAAAACTATAAAACGATATTTTTTATGAAATAGAGAAAGTATATTATTCAAATAAAATAAACAATTTATAAAACGGAGGAAGTATATTGTTCGAGTAAAATAAACAAAACTTGTTTGCAGAATGTGTTTTTCGAACGTGGTTTTGGGGGCATACATAGTGAAAGCACTCGTGAGAAAACAATTTCAAGAAAATCTTGAAATCAACCACAAATGTATATACCACTAAGAAATAGAACGGTTTCATTGGGATACATATGATTTAGTGTTGACTTTTAATGATCAAAGTAAAACCACGGCAAGAATTGGAAATGGGAGTCAACCCTCCACTAAATACATCTAGATAACCTAGAAATGCTTCCATTTATCACACTTTCAAATCGATATATATCGTTGTTTTTTTAATCAACTATACGTTGGTTCATTTCTGTTCTCTTCTTTGTAGTTTGTAGTTTAAAGTTTGCAGATGAATCTTTAAAAATATATATATGATGAAAGATTATACTCAATCATGTAAATGGTATACTGACAAATCGTTGTCGAGTTATGCAATATTTACATAAACCGCTAGACTGATTTTGATTAAACCAAATATATAACTTACATGAGCTTTGGATTATATATACGTTTGTGTACCAAAAAAAGACAGTGAGAATACTCTTCCCAATAGGTTTTGGGCTATATTGAAATACGAAAACGATACTAGAAGTAATCTTGCCACTAAATTCGATATCACCTTCAATGTAATTTGAATTCATTTAAGAGAGGACGTTTTACATTTTATAAGTGTCATTAGTCTGAACTTAAATAATTGAACAGCACTCATCTTTTCAATGTGTGTCAAAAGTCCCGCTGTCTCTAATAGGAACAGGTTCTATCAGCTTGCAATTGTTAATTTGTATTTTGTGGGATATTATGAATTAATTATTATAATTGATAACTAAGGCGAAAGAGTTATTAAGAATACTAATTAAGCGAGAAAATGAAAGGCAAGAGAAAACTTTGGTGAGTAGATTTTCCATAAGGACAAAAAAGGGCCTTTCCACACAGGAAGGCATCTTCTATGATTCGGACACGTGTAAGCAACTTTAAGCTCTCTTTGAGGAAGACCTGACACGCCTCAAAAAGATAAGCAAAACAATGTTGTATTCTTTCTTTATTCGGATGTTTCAGGTAAAAAGTGACATGTTGTAAATAACTAAATAACTACTCCAACTATACTCACCTTTCTTATTGAAATGTTTTATTGTAACTAAATTTTTTTTTATCTCCAACTATTTCTTTTTATGTTGCTCATAACTTATTTTATTAAATCAGAACACTAAGTCACTATATAGTCAGGGAAAAATAGAAGAAGTTACTTTTGATTCGAATTTATATACTCGAGAAAAAAAAGACATAGAGAAAGAGTATATTTTCTTGGAAAAAAAACTCAAAAAGCTTCAGTTAAAGATAAAAAGAGAGTCCATAAAGAAACAAAGCTACTTTCATTTGAATATTGGATAATGGATGTAACAATTATACGTTAAAAAATTACAAGTAGAAGAAATTTTCGAAGTAAAAAATTTAATAGAAAACCCATCGGTAGGAGTGGGGCTAGTAGTTAAACGCAGAGGTTAGTTTTGTTGCGCTCCTAGTTCGAATTTCAGTAGGAGAAAATTTAAACTCGCTCTTATCTCTGGCCCAAAAACTTTGGCCCGAAATCCCTTGAAATTTGAAAAAAAAAAATTTAAATAGAAAAGCTATATTATATTTTAAAAAAGAATTACTGCATACGTAACTCAGATAAGAGAGACTGACAAAATTTACAGGTTTTTGTTGAAGTAAAAATATTGAGAAAGTCTTCATTTTCATTATAATCAATAGGTCTTCCGAGCAAAGTACGAAAGAGGAATTGAATACAAATGACTGAATCCTGCATCCATTGGACTCAGGCGCGTGTTGTACATTTCCGTAAGCTGTAAGCTAGGTCTATATTAGAAATTTGTTTCTTCAGATACTTTAGAAAAAGCATGATGCACTAAATTGCTAACGTTACAGGTAGATGATATCTTCCTCCTGAATATCATACTTTCCAGTTAAAAATACATTTCAACGGAAAAAAGAGATCACTACAAATTCAAATAAATATCTGTTTCGAAAATTAAGATCACAATCAGATCTATCAAAATAAGGGAAAACGGCCAATAGTACCTGCACTACTTCTAGTGTAGCGATTTAATACCTCCACTATTTTGGTGTGCGTTTTAGTACCCGCATTCAATAAATTTTGAAAATACATACCTGCACTCGGCCGATACACCTTGACCAAATTCCGTTAGTCAACGTTTTCCACTCCATTAACGGTGATGACTAAGCTGCCAGCTCCATGCATCCGTGGAACAGTAGCGAAGACGACGTCGTATTGTTAGTTTAAGGATGCAATTTTTTTTCCTCAAAGGGACGTCATTTTGTGTTTTGGGCTGATTTAAAGTTGTAGCCCAAAGATTTTGGGTTTTGGTTGAACCAAAGACGACGTCGTATTGTCATTTGGTAAAACAGACGAACAATCACGATTTCATCTTCTTCGTCGAGGGCGATTTCACGAGACATAGAGAAACCTTGGCAATTTCATCTGTAAAAGTAGGTGTCTGGGTCATCAAATCTAGTAAATTCCGAGTCTAATCGAGTTTGTGGGACTCAATCCATCAAATAACGAGGTAATGTATAATTTTAGGGTTTTTATTTTGAAATTGAATTGAATTTATTTAATCAGTGCTTTTTGATTTGTTTAATCGGTTCATTCAATTGTTTAATCGGTGCTTTTTAATTGTTTAATCGATGCTTTTGTATTGGTTAATCAAATGATACTATAAAATTCATCTCTTCTCTCTAAATTCTCGTTTTTTTCAAAAAATTTCAGTGATGTTTCAGATACTTTGTTTATCATCAACCATGGAGGAAATTTCGAAACAAGTGAGGATGGTACGACTTATTACAACGGTGGTTCTATTACTGAGCTTCTTACACCGGCGACTGCATTGTATAGAAGCTTGCCCGTGAGTTTGTATGGTCAGAGAGTGTGGTACAAAATGCCGTATGAAGATTTGAGTGAGCGTAAGGTCTTGTGTAATGGTGTAGACAACTTCTCGAAGATGTGTGAGGCGGCTATGTGGTGCAAATCAGTAGAGATATACATGGAGGTTGATGCAGACTATGGCGGAAGAGATGACAGTGTTGAAGAAGGAGCTAATGTAGGTGGTGAGAGGATAGAGGAGA